CACCGTCGGGTGTATTCTCGTACTGATCACGCAATGCACATACGGCCTAGACTGCATAGGGATGCGTGCAATCTCTACGGGAAGGATTTCAGGACACAACATCGGGTGCGCGATCAGACACCCTATTACGAGTGATAAATCCTCGGGAAGACGGATAACTCATAGAAGTAGGTGGTGCACGTAGAACTTTAGCTTACAATTAGGTAGCGCATGCGCAGATCGTTCATCCGATCTCAGCCTCATTTTCGTAAGTTGGCGTCTAGCCTAGCCGCCATGGGCCCTTCAGATTGGCTATCGCTGTGTCAAAATCTCTGTGGTGTGACGTAATACTTACCATTGAACTTAAATTGCGCTTAAGTTAATTAGGCCCTCTCTCACTTAAAATCGAAGCGTAAACTCACTGTACAGCGCTCGATGCGCAAAGTTCTTCGTGCAGTGAACTGGGGATATTTTTATTACGCGGAATCCGTTTTTCGTATTGCCAGCGGCAGCGTGCGGATGGGGAACCCAAAACCCGCACAGTGTCAAAGTAAAATCCTCATTTTTAAGGACGCAATTATTCCATGTTTACGAGGATATCCTTGTAACTAGTGCCCACAGCCAGGATAGTACCATGCTGCTAAGTGTGGCTGCAAGCTGCAGTTGAGCTGTGCGCCGGATATATAGGAAGCGTACTGGAACCGAGCTCCACCCACTTTTTCGCCTGGCTCACCGGCCCGCGACTCTCGCCACATTCCGATGATTCTTCGCGGAGATCAACAAAAGTGGGCCGGGCCAATTTACTTCAATTAATCACCAGTTTAGATGTAGACACCAATCTTATACACACCAAATACTTTTGAGATAAAATTGAATTTATAAATACACTGATTACACATAAGAAATTAAATGAAATCTTACGTTTTTTTGAGAATGAAATGATTTCTTGGATGTTTTGAGACGTCCTTCCTTTTTGTCGCTAATAATTATGGTATCCTGGAACAAGCTAAAAATAATAGGAAAAAAGAAAACCTTTAAAATTCAAGATTCAAAGATGTAGATCTATCTAAGTTCATCGTTTACAAGATTAAATTCATGAACAATAGCAAGAAAGTTATTAAGACATTGAAAATGTGGAAAGCACAGCTTGTTAAACACAGATCAACGTTACATGAACAAGAACAATTTTTTTTTTTTTTTAAAGAAATAGAATATAGAATATAATAGAAATAGAACTGGAAAAGTGAATAAATTTACAATACAGTGGGGGGGGGGGGGGGGGAGCTAACAATACTAATCTATTTACCTATACTGAACATAAATGAATATAAGATCACTTACAACGTGAAAAAATAAATATGTACATTTATTTGTGATTTTTGACATATAAGTCAGGCGTGCACTTTACATGAAAAGGTATCATCCAAATTGGTTGTCCCAAATTGGTAATAAGACATACCAAAAATCCAGAGGGCAGGAGGTACAGTGCCCCTGCACTTTTTCAAATACTTCAAAAATGCCCCTTTTTACAAAGGAAAGTGCCCCTTTACCTTTGTAAGAAGGGCCCTTTTTCATAGTAAAAGTGCCCCTATTACTATGTGAAAGTGCCCCTTCCCCTTTTCACCTCTGATAAATGCCCCTTTCCCTTCGACAAGTTCCCATTTAACTTTGCAATAAGTGTCAATGTTCCATTCTCATGAGTGTCCCTTTCAATCTCTAGCAAGTGCCCCTTTTCAGGAACGAGAAGTGCCCCTTTTACTGTGATAATTGCCCTATTCCAATCTGAGAGGTTCCCCTTTTACTTGGACAAGTGCTCCTTTTCCTTTGTAAGAAGTGCTTCTTCCCCATTTAATAACTTCCCCTTTTTAACTCGGATAAGCGGACCTTTTATTTTCACATGTACCCCTTTTCCTTTTTAAATAAGTACCCCTTTTCCTTACGATAAGTGCCGCCATATAAAATAGAATCCCTTCCCCTTCTCACAAATGCCCATATAATTCTCATAAGTGCCCCTTTTCATCTCTGGTAAATGACCCTTTTCAGGTACGAGAAGTTACTCCTTTTCAGTCAGATAAGTGCCCCCTTCACCTCCGATAATTGCCTCTATTCAAATCTGAGAGATGCTCTTTTTATTTTTACTTGTGCACCCTTCCCCTTCTTATTAATTACCCCCCTTTTCATCTTTGATAACTGCCCCATTTATTCTAACATGTGCCTCTTATTCTTTTTAATAAGAGCCACTTCCCCCTATTTAATAAAATCCCACTTTCACCTCCGATAAATGCTCCTATTAAAATTTGATCGATGCCCCTTTTCTTTCAACAAATGCACATTTTATTTTATTATAAGCGCCCCTTTTTTCATTCTCATAAGTGCCCCTTTTAATATCTGGTCATTACTCCTTTTATGGATCGATAAGTGCCCCTTTTCACCTCTGATAATTTTCCTTTTAACATTGAATCGTTCCCTTTTCGTTTCTAATGAGGGACCTATCCCCTTTTCACCTGTTATAAATTTCCCTATCAAAATCTAATGGGTGCCCCTTTTCCGTCGACAAATGCCCATTTCACATTCTCATGCGTGCCTTTTTTTTAAATCCCTGGTGAGTGCCTCTTTTAGGTCCAAGAAGCGCCCCATTGTCACCTCTGATAATTAACCTTTGTACTTTGACCCCGGCTCCTTTTCTTTTCTAATAAGTGTCTTGTCCCTTTCGATAAGTGTCCCCATTTCCTCTCATCATTAAACGCCTGCCCTAAATTTAAAGCGACACTTGAAGAGCAATTTCTCCCAAAGCTCGCCCGCTCGCAAGGGTATATGATAAAATAATTTTGTCACTTATAAAGGACTTTTCAGTCTTCTGTTATGAGAATGTGCTCATAACCCCATCAGGATTGGATTTTTCCTCTTTAAAAAATATAATTTTTCGCACTGTGACCTCACAAATCTTAAAAATTAAAAATGAATATTCAGATTATCACATCTAACTGCAAAGTATGAGAAGCAATATTTTGTATAATGTATAAAGAGAACAGGTAATGAAATCATCCCTGATGATGTAATCACAATGTAGGGTCATATGCCAATTTCTAAACAATTGTATTTAGCTTTGAGATTTCCCTTTGTGGGTGCCCCTTTTTCCAGAAAGTCTAGAAACACCTTTGCAACACGGTTTTATTTCTCATAATAAGAGCACCCTAAACTTGCACAAGGTGATACAAAGGGTCTTTCACATTCAAGTCTATATAAAGCATCACCCCCTTGTTTTTAATTTTAAAAATAAAAGACGTTCTGAGGCCAAATTTTAATAAGTCTGAGGGGAAAATGTACCGAGCTGCCATTTTGAAAAACACAAAATAAAAAAGGGCCTTCTCCTTCCCCTTTTTCATCAAAAAGGCAGGAGGCTGTAAACGTGTTGTTTTTTGTTCTTGTTGGCCTAATATGGGCTTTTACATCTCGCCTGTATACCCAAGCAGAATCATAGTGCTCAACAAAGACCCCGGACTTGGGTATAGAGAGGTCCATTATTTGTTTTTTTATTTAATCATTTTTTTCATTGACAGTGCATTATCTCAATGCATTATCTCCTGCTACTCAGACGCGGATCCAGGATTTCTTAGGGGGGGGGGGTCCAAATTTGAAATCAATTTGAAATCAATTTGAAATTTAGTGTGCTGAAATTTAAAAATCGTGCCGGCTACCAATTGTTTTTTTGCTCCCAAAAATTTGAAAAATCGCGCCAGCCGATAATTCGCTTAGTGGGGGGGGGGGGGGGGGGATCTCGAAAAAAGGTAAAATTCACGTGTTTTACAGGGTTTTTTCCTCCAGGGGGGAAAGAAAGCTATACTACTAGGCATCGTTATAATTATATTAAAACCATTCCACATAATTTTCTTGATTTTTCTGTTCTCTCACGAGGGGCCCCATTGAGGGGGTCAAGATGGATTACAACAAACAAAAGTCGGATCGTTACCTTTTTCATTTTTGCTTTTTACAGAACTAGATACCTTGTTGTTGTATATATGGGCCTACTATTTCATTTCGATATTAAATTCAATAAAAATGTTATATTCAGGCGCCAAGGTCCCGAATCATTACGATATTCGGGCAGCGAGGTGCCCAAATATCATCATATCATCACCATGGGGATTTTCATGGGTCTCGCTGCCTGAAACTATCTTGTGTCTAATTTTGCGAGCGGGAAATACCCTATATCTCTATAAAATGTTCTTTTTTAATCAAAGTACCAGCAAAATCTTAATAAATATTTGGGCATTCTGAAGTTTACCCTACTCCAAAATATGTTTTGATATAACGAAAATACTCGCGGAACCGCGGTTGAAAGATATGGTCAAAATTTGAGGTTTACCCTTTCCTGCACTGCTCTTCCCTCACTAGCTCTCACCTTTTGGAAAATGTTGAACCTTAAGATGCTCTTAGGTACATTCTGAGGCATTTCTGAGTGAGTAAACTGAACATTTATGTGCATTTATTTATTTATTTATTTTTTTTGAAGTTAAAAGGGCTCGAGGGGGCGTGCGCCCCCACGTCCCCTTAGGTCCGCCCCTGGATAGGCTACATCCTATATCATGTCCCGTGTGATGGATTTCCTTTATCGTAAATATCGCGTTTTATGCTTGTATCAGGGAAACTCACATTTCCCTGGTTTGTATATAGATTTTCTTCATCTTCTTCGTTTTTTCCCCCGTAAAAACGGAGGCGGTGCGTTGCCAAGGTATTGCGTTAAACAATTCTCTGACGTCCGTATACGATCGAAGAGTTTAGTATGCGCAAAGTACATGGAGCAGGAGCAAATCATCCCACAGTGCAATGTAACGGAAACCGTTTTACTATTGATGTTCTTTAAAAAATCACTACTCAATTTCAAATGAAATACAAAGAGTCCTATGAAATTCAAAACAATTTAAATCTAACATAATGAAAGAGATATTTCACTTCAAGTATAGTAGAGCATATTCTACCTTGAAACAAAATTACAATTCCGAATTTAGAGCACTCATTTATGCTGAGCGGAGGCATGTTAGTTTGTGATACGGCTTTAGCTATGTACAAATTGGCCTAATTTTGCACGAGAAATGGGAAGGATATTTGATTAATACACTGAAATTAGAGGGATTTTTAGCATCATGACCTCAGAAGTGGAAGAACATGTCATGGCCAAATATGAAATCAAGAAGCGCCTTGGAAAAGGAGTAAGTTCTAGTGAACTATTATAAATGTTATGAGTGGTTGTATTGCAGGTGCTTGAGTGGGGGAATCCGTAGTCTAGCGGCAATCAAAGAGTACTAGGCCGCTAGGTCGGGCGTAAAATGACCTCAGTTGCCGATGCGTGTTTTTCGTATGGATACCTTATTTTATATAGGTACGTGAACGAAAAAATAGGATTAATTGAATTTCCTTAAAAATAGTACCAATCGAAAGAGCATGAAAAATACATCTAAAATAATACCAAGATCACCACCCTAGGTCAACAAATAGCGAAATAACGATAGTTTAATGGGGTTTTAAAAAAAAAATTGTGTTCCTGCGGCCCCCATATGCGCACAAGTCATTGAAGGATTGTGTGACAACTTGTGACCTTTCTTTTAGAAATGTCTCCAAGAATCTTCATGTTTTAATAATTTAATATACTATCCTGGAACCAAAGAGGCAAAATGAGAAGAATTAACCTTTCTTCCTTGTTCTTTCCTTCACAGGCATATGGCATTGTATGGAAGGCCATCGATAGGAGAACGAGGGAAGTTGTTGCATTAAAAAAGATTTTTGATGCCTTCAGAAATCAGACAGATGCACAGGTAAGAAGCAAATAAATAGCAAGAGGTTCAATTCATCTGGTACATTTAGACTGTCTTCCTAGAATTTAACGACAAACTTACACATGCTGTTCAGATTTTTTATTTTTTTAAAGATAGGGTGTCTGATCGCGCACCCAAGGTTGTGTGCTAAAATCTTTCCCATAGAGGTTGCACGCATCCCTATGTGGTCTATGTGCATTGCGCGACCAAGCAAAATTGGTCAATGATTTTATGAAAAATTTGTAATTCAAACCTTTATAACAAATGATCCTGAAGGTGGTGTCATATGAAAGAGCAGGTTTTTCTCCATATTCCCCATAGGGGGCCACCCCCGGAATTCTAAAAATATCTTGCTCAAAACATCGATTTAAACATCGTTTCCATGGTAACTAAGAGATTTACCAATTTCACGAACTGCTCCCCCGAGGGATAAGTTGGGCCAGCTGTAAAGAATATATCCATGCACTTATTTTTTCTCTAGTCCCAAGGGATCATTTGGCACAACACTTTGAAAATACCCTTGCTCCACGCTTTGCATATCGTGCTGTGCATTAGCTGTGCAGCTTTTGAGCGAAATTATAACTTTGCGTGAACCATTTTTCTTTCCATTCTGACCAAAATGCTTTGAATATTGCACAGTTTTTGAGGGGCTGTATCTTTTGATAGAAACATCGGTGAGTCTTGAAATTTGTAAGGTATTATTCTGATTACATTTTTTATTCCAATATCCAACAAAAATGGTGAAAAACGATCTCAAATTGAAAATTGAAAAATCGTTCAGACACCCTATTAAAGATACCGGGGTTCAGTTAATTGTTACTCAAAACCGTAAAAATTCTAAGTTCATGGACATCCCATTAAAAACGTGTGTTATTGAATCAACACACGTTTCTATGGGATCTTCTTCTTCTTCCAATGTAGTACATCCCTCTAAACGAGTATTGTCCTACTTTGATGTCCACAAACTTAGACTTCTTCTTCTTCTTCTTCTTCCAGTATAGTACAGTCCGCCGTTGGCGCATTATCGTACCTTGTGTTTGTCAAGTGCCGAGTGTACAGTGCAAGTAAAAAGGCTCTACAAGAATTCTATGTGCACTCTAATCTGTATGATGAGTTTGAGTAACGGGCCCCAGGGCTCTATAATACAATAACAAAGGTCCAGTACACCTCAGTTTGGGCGATGTTCAAGTGTGGAGTTCTGGTTGATGAAATTTAATGGAAATTTGAATATTTAGCCTTTAATTATGTAAATTTACATGAAATAATTATCCTATGAAAGGTTATAAATAAAGTTTTATGGTTTGTTTAAAAGTAAAGAACTACATATAGGCTGTGTAGTAACTTTGATTTCATTTTTTTCCATATTATTTGAATGATTTTCTAAGATGTTTAAATCCTTCTCTCTCTCTCTCTCTCTCTCTCCCTCCCTCCCCCTCCCAATCTCCTCTCTTCTCCTGCTCATTCTCTCCCATTTTGTCTACAGAGGACATTTCGAGAAATCATGTTCTTACAAGTAAGTCATTCATCATGAATGTATGAAATCACATTGTTAGATATTAAATATACAATAATTTCCTTTGAGGTGATATGCTACATGACTATGATTTTGCCTCTTTTTTAAATGTAAGGTATTCACAATATCTACAGGTGCATTCATTGCTTTTTTAGGCTTACAGTTAAGTATGGTAGTATTCATTTCCCAAATTTGTCAGCTTAGAGTACACGTTACGACCAAAGGAATTATTTATACAGGGGTTCTGCGGTCAATAATAAACTGGATGAGTCATGGAAATTTTTAAACAAACATGTATTTTCAGGTCCAAATGACTTGCAAATCACCAAAAGTTATGGTAAACTAATATAAATCAAGGAAATGGTTAATGATATGAATAATTTGAATATAGATATATTAGATAGCTCTTTGAGGTACAAAGGTGTGATCGGTTCACAGCTCATCACGTGATATTGATTGTGAGGAACATAATAAGTATAGTTCTGCTTGATACCATATCCAAGCAACCCTGCACGCACTGGCACATACCCATCATTTGCATTGTTTTAGCAGCGTGCATTTGATGTGGAAGGCTGGGTGGTTTGAGAAGGAAAAAAATGCATCTGATTGAATTTACCCTTATGTTTATGTGACAAAGTGTAATCAAAGCTATCTGATATAATAGATAATGAATGGTAGGTTGTGGATATATAATTTTTTTACCTCAAAGGACTTATATTTTCCCACTGTGCAGTATGCTTCGGGACATTTTTACACCCTTTGGCGGTCAAAAACCTTGTCACTTAAAAAAAAAAAATCAATATGATATATATACCGGTATATATTTTTTGTTTTTGTTTAATTAATTGAAAAAAAGTTTCATAGCTCCTTTTATGTCTGTTTTATTTCTGTCTTCAGGAATTCAGTGACCATAAGAATATAGTCAAGTTACTGAATGTGATGAGAGCAGAGAACGATAAAGACATCTACCTCGTATTTGAGTACATGGGTGAGTTTGATCAAGTTGTACATTTACTTAAAAACTGTTCGGGGGGGGGGGGGGGGTCTAGAGGCAGACCATGATTAATTACAGGCAGACAGTGATTAACTCAGGCCTGATAAAAACCAGATTTAAATCGGTTTCCTGATATTTTTGATTTTCCCGATTTTTTTTGTCTTCCCTCTTTTATCCTGATTTTACCGACTTCCCTGTTATTTTCTCTAATCTTCCCTATTTTGCCTGATTTTTTTCACAATTTTCTTACTCGAAAGGGGGGAATGTTGTTAGATGCCATTTTTTCCCGCGAATCCTCTTCTCTTTTTTTTTTACTCAAGGGGGGCGTGGTTGAGGTGAAAACGAAAAACCTTTTTTTTTGTTTAGTGCTCACTATCACCCCTCTTAATTACAGGGTACCGCAGCTGATTGTTTGCTTAGTGTCATTCTATGCAAGTGTATTGCTCCAACCTGTATTAATAGTCGTTGAAATGTTCATCACATACATGTATGAAGTGCAACTTGTTTATGAGGTGGTAAGTGGTTATTGTACATTATTGTGTAAGCGTATCTCCAGAGAGAGAGAAAAGAGAGTGGGGGGGGGGGGGGATACACTTCTTTAGGATTGAGTACTTGTCACCGTCATATTTTTTGTTATAGCGCTTAGAGACTTTGGTGGAAAGTGCTTTATAAGCACCATTTTTATTATTATTATTGAAGTATGTTGTCTATTTTTTCTTATCGTTTACAGACACCGATCTCCATGCAGTAATCAAGAAAGGAGGAATCTTAAAGGACATTCACAAACGTTATATCATGTATCAGCTTATTAATGCTACCATGTATATGCATTCTGGAAATGTCATACACAGAGATCAAAAGGTAACTGCCGAGTAGAATTTGTAAAGTTTTGTTTTTGTGTCATGTATTCAGTATTCCATACACCACATTCACCATGGAAGTACTTGTTAGAATTTTTAATTTTTTTTTAAAACCTACGGTAATACAAAATTTCAACATCGATGGTATGTTAATCAAACTGCAGAATTTCCTGGCCGAATGAATGCATCATTTAACCAAAATTTGTTCATAAATTTGTGTAGTTTTGTTTAACAAATGTTTGCAGCACTTGGCAAAATCGTCTTTCCTTTAAAATGAAAATAAAGACTTTGCAGGATATGAGTTTGATTATTAGATTTTAGAGGAAATACTGTGTGAGTGTAAGTTTACACCTAGAAAATTGCTAATTATTTTAAGAATCATCTTTGAACAGTAAATTGTGATACATCTTATGAAAGAGCGTTTTATCCCAAATCAAGTGGTATCATTTTTGTGTGGTATGGGTTCACGCTTGGATGAACAGGAGGCATTGTTTGCAAGAGTGCAAAAATCGACTTGCGCCAAAGTGATGCCTACAGTATGTGATATGTTGGGATTAAAGTGAGAGACTGAATTGAATGAATGTATCAAATGAGATGCATTGCATATATATGCTTTTTGCAGAAGCAAAGTCACAAACACAAACACACACAAACACAAACACACACACACGCACAATAGTTTGTTCATATTTGATATGTGTGGCATGATTAATTTTGTTAAGGATGTTATTTGGATCTGCAATGACCGAATTAATACCCAAAACCCAATTGTTTTATGCAAACATCACATACGCAACTTTGGCGCAAGTCGGTTTTTGCAGAATTGGTTGAGAATATTCATGTGACTTTTGAATATTGAATGCCAGCATTAGAAACAAATTTTCTCTGTATTCTTCTTTCCTCTTCAGCCATCAAACATCCTGCTAGACACAGAGTGCTTTGTGAAGGTAGCAGACTTTGGTCTCGCCCGTTCAATAACCCAAATAGACGCTGTCCTGAGCGAAGACAATCCTGCCCTTACAGAGTATGTGGCAACAAGATGGTACAGAGCACCAGAGATCCTTCTAGCTTCGAAAAGGTGATAATAATAATGATAATAATTGGATTTATATAGCGCCTTTTCCAAAGGATACAAGGCGCTGTCTCTTAGACTATCAACAATTCAAGAGGAGTAATGACTTGGAGTAATGACTTAATGACTTGGAATTATACTTAGACGCTGTATTGTTTCCATCTCTCTATTCCTCTTCATTTCCCTGTCTCTTTCTGCCCATCTAAGAGATATAGAGTGAAACCTGTATATAGAGACCACTCAAGGGAGACAAGAAATGTGGTCTTTATAGGCAGGTGATCTTTAGGTACAGGTTCCTTAAGTAAGGGTTTCAGTGAGAAAAGATTTTCATGGGAAACAAGGATTGTGGTCATTATAGGCAGATGGTCTTTCTATACAGGTGGTTGCTAGAGCAGGTTTCACTGTTCAAATTTCTCTGTCCCTAATATATTCATCTCTTCCCTTATTCTTCCCTCTTGTATTTCTTAACAGTGTCTCCCTTTCTACCACTCTGCTCATTTCTCTTTCTCTGAAACACAAGCAGCTTTTCACAAAACCATCATTAGCACAAGCTTGCTAACATCCCATTGAAATGCATGTTAATTGTGAAGCACATGTTTCAATGGGATGTCCACGAACTTGTCCTTACACATGTACATGTATGATGGTTTGTGAAACAATAACCAGTTTTCCTTCATGTATTTCTCCTTGTTTAAGTTTCAATTTTGTTGTTGTTGTTTATGTTGCTGTCGCTGTTGTTGAAATTTATATTGTTAAAGAAGAAATAACTGAATACATTTCTGTGGTACACAATTTTCGTTGTTGCAGATATACCAAGGGAGTAGACATGTGGAGTGTAGGCTGCATCATTGGAGAGCTTCTTAAAGGGAAGCCCATGTTTCCTGGTTCATCTACATTCAACCAGCTGGAGAGAATCATGGCCATCATTGACCCGCCCACCAAGAAAGACATCGAGGCTATCCAATCAGACTATGGAGCTACGTTTGTAGATATGTCAAAACTCAGGTAAGAATTTGGAGGATTTGTAAGGCAGCAAGCTCGTGCTATTCTTAGGTATTCCAGGGACCTGTTTCTCAAAACTTGTCATCAGTGACAAATGACAGTTTTTGTTATAAGCTAGTGAAATCCTTGTCCTTGATTTTTGTCATTTGTCATTGTAAATAGGCTTTGTTAAACGGGTCCAAGTTCTGTTTGAAATATGTGTCTGCATTCATATATTATTATGTGAGCTGATTACAGTATATATTATGTATACTTCTTGTTCAATTGAGAACTGAATAAAGGATGTCAATATTGGAAAATAAATACATATAGTGATGCACTGTTGATGTATTGATATGCACTGTATGCAAATTCAATAGACAGCTGTGTTTACACAGATTTGTATAAGGGAGGCGAGTTGGCTCAGTCGGTAAAGCGTCCGCCTGTCCAACCAAAGATCCCGGGTTCGACTCCCACCCAGGCCGATGACTGAAGCCTGTGTTGTGTGTTAACGTTCCCCTTCCCTTGGTCATAGACGCAGGTTATGTTAAGTGGAAAACACTCCGTCCCTGGGATAGGACGTTAAATGGAGGCCCTGTGTAGAGAAGAGTCACTACCTTTGCACGTTAAGAACCCACTGCACTATTCGTATAAGAGTAGGGGGAAACCCCTGTGTAGTGGTCCACCTGCACACCCCCAAGACCCAAGGGTTACCAGTGATTCAGTTCGCTTTTCACCTCCCAGGCCCAGGCGATGCCAAATACTTCAGGGTGCTACAAGAATTTTTTTCACCACTTGCCCTGTCGGGCAAGCGGGTTTTCAATTTACTTGCCCAAACAATATTTCCACTTGCCCAAAACTTTAAAGCGAAAAAGGACTCGAGGTTAAAGCATTTATTATCTCGTAATGATAAGTTAGTGTTTTAGATAGCAAATTAATGCACATACATGTACAGTGTAACTGTACTGAATAATAACCTAATATGTCAAAGAAAATGGTCAACAAAGGATGGTTGAAGGTTTAAAAAACGCATTTTATTGATTCTCCATAAATAATCAGATTCACATGAATCTCGGCAAGGTAGAATGGTTCAAGCAGGTTTAAGTTTTTAATATTCAGTCATGTATATCATGCCAAAATTTGTAAATTCTTACTAAATAATAATATTGAAGATATTTTACGATAAATCTCGGATAAGTATGCGAAAACTAGACTAAACAACGTCGCTAAAACCATGAAAACAAAACAACAACGGCTTATATTCTGGGGGTCTCGATACTATTATCAAAATGACTCGCTCGGTCGGATCTTGAGACCGCAGTAATAAATTGAAAACGAGACAAAAACATTCATCTGATTTATATGAGCAGCGAGTTTTAAATAATATGTTCACAATCATTAACAGTCATTATGAATAAATATCAAACATTTGACTTTTTGTACTTACTAGAAAATCCCTGTTGTTTATTCCATTCCGATTCGCACGTGTTCATTTCCCTAGAATAATGACGTCATATTTGGCGTGATTCAACCAATCGGCAATCAGAGAATAGCAAAGGCCTGTCGGTGCGGCCTGCAGAGCTAGAGAGAGAGAGCGCGAATAAGCTCGCAGCTGGTACGATCGCGCTAGCTGTCTCTAGCTAGCTCACGGCCGGCCGTGCGTGGAGGCGGAGCGGCATTCATGGCTTGAAGTGTCACTGTTGCATGCGCGCTGAGCTAGCTGAGCTGGCTAGCTGTCTGTGAAGTTTTTTCGAAATCGGAACGATCGCTTTTTTGCTTCTGGATTTTGACGACGGGTAAGAAGTTGACGGGTGAATGGTAGAGTTCTTGGACACTAGGAAATTACTGTAAAAGTATCACTTGCCCGAATCGGGCAAGTGATAATTTGATTTACTTGCCCGACGGCTCAATTTGGTTGCCCCGGGACGTCGGGCAAGCGGGTTTGTCGCGCCCTGTACTTAATGATAACCAGAATTAATCTGAAATCATAAATGAAACATCACCTATCTTTTTTTTTCCTTTTGATGCAAGTGGAACCATATGAGGCCATATTGAACAAGTTTCAATCTTTTTTTTTTCTTCGCTGACTGAATTGAACATTTTCTTCATTCTTTTCTGTTCTTTTTCACCAGGCATAGACAATCAATTGAGGAAGTACTACCGGGTGCCCCGGCCGATGCAATAGATTTGGTCAGAAAACTGTTACATTTCAACCCAGACAAGAGACTCACTGCCAAACAAGCTCTTTCACATCCATATGTAGCAAGGTACGTTCACAGATAGCACATGGTACAATGACCCCAATTATCCACAGATCTTTTACATATGGAGAAGTTCCACTTTGAGCATATTAGAATAATGACTGCCAAAGTCCTAGATGTGCTCCATGAATACCTTTTGTTTGACCTCTTAAAAAGAATACTTCCACCTGCGTATCATAGAATGTATAATGTTACATAACTTTCATGAGCGCATATCCAGTATTCATCTCTGTGGGTTTTACCTTTTTGGTACAAATGACCTTTATCTGCCCATGCGCAGATTGTATCTGTAAACTCCCTTATTGGAAGGAAACTTGTATTACAGTCAAACCTGTCTATAGCAATCACCCAAGGGAAACACAAAAAGTGGTCTTTGTAGACAGGTGATCACTAAAGCAGGTTTGACTGTATTTTATAAGTAGGCACATTTTTAGTCTGTGCAGTGGTTGGAAGAATTATGTTAAAAGAAAAGGAAAGGTGAATGTTGTTTTGCACTGTTACATCTTGGGTTTGTAAGAAGAAGAATCCATAGTTATGAAGTAGCAGTGGTTTAGAGAGAAATATTTATGTTGTTTATTGCAGATAGAAAGATTTCTTTGTGTCAAGATGCCCCATATAGATTTTCTTTTTCTAATCTTGTTTTCTGTTTTCTTTTTTCTTTCTCCCTCACTCTCTGTGTGAAGCAAGCCAATTAAAATCCCACCTCTTATTTGGAAACTTATCATAAACCTGTAAAGATAAAATATGTTTCTTGTGAACCTGCTTTAGGATAGGTCATAGATGTTGCTTCTTCAGTTTCGCTTTTCATGAGATCTTTTTATCCTCTTTTAATGCTTCAGATTTCGAAACAAACCTGGAGAGATATTTCTAGACTATGATGTAGTCCCACCCTTAGATGATGATGTGCAGCTCTCCGTTAACGAATACAGGTCAAAGCTATACGAGGTAAGAAAAGCATCAAAGTATTTATCGTAACCTTTCACATATTACTGCACGTGCTTCTTTTAAATACTTACCTCCAGGCCTGATAATTACTCGATTTACATGTAAATGGGTTTCCCGATTTGTTTTTCTTTTTTTCCTGATTTTTTAATTTTCCTCCTGATTGTACCCCTACTTTCCCAATTTTTCCTTGATTTTCCTAATTTTATTCCAATTTTCTTAATTTTAAGGGGGGAATGTTGTTAGATGCCAATTTTTTTTTCTTCTCCCCGAATCCTTTTTATTTTTTTACTCAAGGGGGGGGGTCAAGGATTTTTTTTTTCCTTTTAAAGTGCTCTCTATCACCCCTGTACCTCTAAAAATGCTATGTTTTTGCAGAGGCTTTGAAAACAAAGGTGGAGGGGCATCATGCCCCCCCCCCCTCCAGAAGATTTATGCCACGTGTGACCAATTCTCATCGAGATTCCATTTTCAAATCTGTTGAAAATCACGGATTCTGACAATTAGCATTAAGGAATATACATATATACACATGTAGTATTATGTTCATTACTATCCTTTTCTCTTTTTCCCATTATTTCCTGCTCCCTGGCATACCCTCGGTTCTTGTGTTGTACATGTATTGATTAACCCCCTCTATTTGTTTATGCCCAGATGATGAAAGAGAAGAAAGCCCGACACCGTCAGCAGCTGAGGGAAGCCCAGCAAGCCCAGAGGAGGGGGAGCCAATCCTCAACCCCACCCTCAGAGCAGGGTAGTCCTATGGTCAATGGCTCTACAGCCTCGGCCCGGTCTAACCAGGCTGCAAGCAGCAGAGGTACCAGTCGACAGAGACCCGCTGCTGCTGTCGGACCTGGAGGAGCAGCAGCAGCACCTCAAGCACCAACGTCAACAACATACACAAATTACGCAGGTATGTTAAACTCAAACTTGGTTGCATGTAATCCCATTCAGACAAAGCCTGTTGTACTGCTTCAAAGAGAAAAACTGGAAAGATGAATTTTTGGGTGGTATTCTCGAAAGCGGACTAACTTTAGTCCATGGTTTAATCCACAGACTAAGTATGGAATGCCAAGTGTCCATATTAATATATTTTTGAATAATTTGATAAGTCCCTAAATTACCATGATAACATAATTATATCACAGTTATATTGCTCTTTATTAATTATTTATTACATTTTATTTTTATTTAGTAACAGATTAAATTATTCAAAAACATATTCATATGGACAATTGGCATTCCATACTTAGTCGGTGGATTAAACCATGGACTAAAGTTAGTCCGCTTTTAAAAATACCACCCTATATGTTTAAAGAATTGACAAGAGGCAATGTTGTGAGGGTATTATAGTTGTTAGTTGCAATGTCCCATACATGTACACCTTTTTATATGTGTGATGAAATACAGAAAGGAGAATCATACTATCCTTGTTTCATTCATTTTGCACTGGTAGTTATTTTTAAGCACTTTTCTCACGTGTCTTAGTGGTGATTAGTTTTGCAAGGATATATGGGTTTTGGTACTGTATGTGTTGGATTATTTTGCATGAAAATGTGAGTATCTTGCTGGAATTTGAACCACCATTTGTAGAATAGTACATGTAACAGAGCTGCCAACCATTCCTATTTTGGTCATGATATAAGCTCTAGATTCCTATTACCCCCTTGCAATCTTATGTATAAAAGTTTGCAAAATACATTGGGTTTCTATTTTGCCTTGAGAGATTCCAAATTTTCCTTTGGAGGGTTGCCGGGCAGCTATGCAAGTAATTGCACTTGACTTGTGGCTGTTAACTGAAATTCAACACATTTGGACGTATATATGGTATTGGACACATATATCGATAATTTCTTTTAAAGTACCTTGTGTTAAATAAATGGCATTACTTTAGTAAAGCACAATTTCTACGTGTATGTGTGAAGGTAGATGAATAACTGAAGACATAGTATAATTTCCTATTGTCTTTTTAGATGGATCTGCACACCTTTGTCTGTGTTGTAGATATCAATGTTGTGTTACAGCAAGTTCCTCTAAGCAGCAAAAGAGATTTAGAACCTCACATATCTTAATAATAGTGTGTTTCATTGTGTATTTCTTTGATTTCTATTTTGTTTGCATGTTTTTTGTCTGGTATACCTGTATTCTGTGCTGTGCCGATACCATTGCTTACTGTGCCTCTCTCTCTCTCTGCTGTCTTGATGTTGGCTTGATGTGATGTAGCCGAGGCAAGGAAACATAGACCCCCCTTGAGCTCTGCCTCTGGGAACGGACACACCCCCAACAAGCGCCTACACCATACCTCCAGTGCCCCCGTGTTGCACGCAGGTGAAACAGCATGAATATTGTTGGGTTGGAGGGGGGGCTAAGGGGCTAAGGGATTATATTTTCTTTTTCATTCCCCACCTATTCTCCACCTACCAACGTAATGCTATATTGAATATGCCATTGTAATCATGTTTTATTTCATTATCTATTATATTTGATGTGTCGTAACAAAATGAGCCTTACCATCAAAGGTAGGTTTTGTGTACATGTACTTACTTACATGTATAGCTCATTAGTTGTTGCTCATTAAAGAATTTGAGGCCGCCACCCTAGTCAAGCTTCGCTTATGAATGCGGTCTCCTGCACTTTTTCAACTGATAGTTTGGATAATACTTTAAATTTATAATAATATGTTATAGAAATATTAAGTGTCGTTATTATATGTACATATGTAAAAAAAAAAAAAACATTTTGACATGAAGTTATCATTGTTTGCATATTTTGTATTATACCTTACCTTACACCTTACCTTACGTTTATATGTTCTTTGTTATTCTGTTATTATGTTTGGAAAAATGCCGAAATCAAATCAAATTAAAGCAAATATAACCAGGTATATTTTTGTGATTTCCAGGTGTAGCCTTTGGGAGGTCAACAGCAGACCCACCTCCTGTGGCCATGCAGAGGAAAAACTCAGTCAGACAAAACTTACAGAGACAAAATAGTGTAGAGAACATTGCTGCAGTGAGTATTACTCAATGATAGACTTATTTAAGTTTTCATGTTTATGACAAATATTTACATTGATTTGAGAGGAAGAATACAGAGAATAATGAAAAGATTGAGAACAAGAACAGCAAAGTAATGGAAAAATGTGGAGGGGTTTTATACTGAGAAGATTATAGCTTGTAAAATGTAGACCCAATTAATGAAATGAAAACCGTTAAAATAATGTGATATGCTCTGTGTAAAAACATAATTGTATTACTATCGTCATGACTTGTTCTGTACAGGGTCAGTACAATGGCAATGAGAACCAGTACCAGTCATCAGGCATTGGTCAGCAACGTCCATCATCTGGTCATCACCAGCGCACCAGGTCATTCTCAGCTGGCATACGCAATAGCACCATCACTAGGGATACCAAGGGTCAGCATGGAGGGAGTCTAGCCGTGTCCAGCTCAAGACTAGTAAGTTATCATCTTAGGGCATTAACAGAAAAGATGTTATATTGTCCTCTGCGACCGACCCAAAAATCTTGAAATCTACGGTCGGCTTTTACTGTTTAAAAAAAAAAAAAAGTTTAATGAATAGAAAAATATGTATTAGAGCATTGAAAACTGAGAAATAACAGCCCAAAGAGGGAGAAAAAAAATTATAATAAAAAAAAAAAAATCTGTTCGACCGACCCATGTTCTGGTACCTAAAGGGCAATACAACATCTTTTTTTTTGTAGGCCTAGTTATGAGGAGCAAACGTTCTACAGGTGCAATCGCATTGGTAGAACGTTTCAGGAAGTGTACTTCCGAGAGATTATGCTTGTGTGAACCCCGGCCCCCCCACTCCGGGGTCGGAATGACCGCATGCGTGTTACCAAAATGTCCGGTAAAGGGGTACTTTTCACGCACCAAAGTCTGACTCGTACATACACAAAATTGACTTTACACACTGGACTTAGGGGGTGTTTACAAAACGAGGGAACACGCATATGCGTACCCTAAATAACACTGAGTAGAGGGGCTGGGGTGTGAACACAACATTCCTGTTAGCAATTATGTTTAGAGATATTTCTCTTGAATTTGTTATTCCTGTTAGGGGATGCACGTTATAGTTGGAACTATCAGGGAGTCCTGTTTCTATTGCAAATTCTAAACTTTAGTTGATTAATAGTTTTATGATGTAATGTATAACTTTTTTCCTCCCCTTCGTGAGTGACGGATAATCTAGGCTGACCCACTTGTGCATGCATCTATACAATATGATAAACAATAAACTGGTTCACAAATCTCCAAATTCGAATGATGAAATGCAATTTTATGGGGGAAAAACTGGAGACTTGGATCTCAAACTGATTTAGCCAAATGTATATCATGTTTTAGATGTTCCATGATATGTCTCTATCTTCTTATAGCTGTCCAGGAGAGTGTGTCACAAAGACTAAGATCAACTTTAAGTTGGACTTAACTATGGCAGGCTGTTCATGCCACTGTTTTCTCTCACCGTTTACTGGCACTGGTCTTTCAAGAGACGTACAGATCATGGTCACAAATCTACAGAATTTACATTCTTTGATTATTATTCTTTATTATAGGAAAAAATATTATCTAAAGATCATAATGGTGAGAGCAAACAGTGGCATGAACAGCCAGTAATAGTTAAGTCCAACTTAAAATCGATCTTAGTCTTTGTGTAACACTCCCCAGGGATTATTCTAGCTATTATGAATCATACCGGTAGTGATACAGTAAAAAAAATCTAAGTAATTTCTTCCTGCTTTCCTCCAGTGATAAAAGGAAACATCAGACTCCCTGGTAGGTTGTGCAATGCAGTTTCACAATTCATCTCCATCTCCATCTATCTTGTGTGATTTCAGTGTTCTTTTTAATCACCTGATACCTTTTTTAATCACCTGATACCTTGCAGTGAGTGCATTCATTGTATGGATTCATGTTAAACTTGGGAAATTAACTCATGATGTGGATGTTCACTTGTATCAGGGATGAGATTTCTCCGCCAATTTCAAGACGGGGGAAGAACAAAATTTCAGATTATCATTTATGGTACAGCTAGCATTGACCTCACTGCCTTAGCAGCATTTATCTCTCATCTGAACAATGTTATAGAGTCCCTTTCAAGCATGATGTCATGCGCAGTTGAGTATATACATATAGAAACTGCGCATTATAAATTTACAATTATTATTATTATTATTATTATTATGGGGTAACAAATATTTCTCAAATTTGGAATTTGAATGCAAGGAAAACATGTCCTTTTGCATAAATATATTCTAAAGTATTCTGCCCCGGACCCCCATTTAATCTTCCTTCTTTTGGGGGAATTCCTCTGTGTCATCCCTGTTGTATGCATCAAGAGTTATTGCTGCTGAATCTATTCGATAGAGACAGGGCAATTATAAATCACACTTTGGGAGTGATACATTAGAGGATCTGAAAATTGGACAGAAATTGTCATCACATACTCAACAGAGGGCAGCAATTGGATGTATGACCAGTGGATGGATGAACATTCTGAGAAAGACACATTTTAAGACTTTTGACCTTTATTAAACAATATCTATACCACACATTTCAGTTTGCACATCATCTGAATTGTCAGCAGTGATGGGATGTCTTTCTACATCTTTGTTATTTTTTTTAAAGTTTTGAGAAGCAAAAAAGAAATCCGGAAGTGGTTTAGAGAATTCTTTTCCCTTTTTGATTGTAACAGTGATGCAGTGTAAAGTTATATTTCAGTAGAGATTGAAACAATTCAGAGAAAATTGTTGCTCAGCTGGTAATTCAAAATATTAACATCTTATCCCATTTCTCGCTATTCTATATTGGAAATTTGAAGGTGTTCATAATATATTGGTTGTTATTTTCACTGGGTGGATTGTTGTCATGGTAAATTATATTCACACTTTGTTTTCTCATTATCATAAAATAAGTACTGTAAAGCCAGGAACTTTTTTAGGAATGAAATGTTCACAAAATTCACATGTGGGTCATATTCGCAAGTTTCAAGCCTCGATGTAATTGAATCACAATTGACACAAACACAACATTTTTGAAATTAGCTCAAGTTTCTCTCCATGTAAATGGCAGTCCTTAACTATTCTCGAAAATTTCATGTTGCAAATGTTCTGTTTTACAATTTCATCTTTGATTTAAGTGAAAAGAACAAATTCTGTACATTAAAATAATCTTAGGAGATTATATGTATTTCTTATAAGGGAGTGGTTTACATATGTGCCTTTCAAATTGCAAAAATGTAACATATCTATTTTTAAAAAATTGGAAGATAGTTCATTAATTGAGCATCAATGACAGAAGGGTGAAAATTAATGGCACCACCTGTAATATGTTCATTGAATATTGTTCAATTAGGTAACTAACATGCAAAATGTATTTGTTGTATGTCCATCTTATATTACGATTGTCATTTCTTTTTTTTGTTCAGGTCCCAGCACAGAGGCCCATCTCAGCCCAAGAGAGCCGACATGCTCAACCAGCAGGTCGTAAACAGTTTGGGTCAAAGACCAGCGGTTCCTCAGGAGCACCACGGTCCACGTTTGGCAGCTACAGCCAAGCCCATGGTACGATATCAGCAAGTAGTTTGGCTAAGCTGCAGGGAAGGTAGTCTTCAGTAGACCGCACCCAGTTCAGTAGCACGATGAGAGCAAGCGGTCTGGCTAGGCTACATCAAGCAGTCCTTGATTGTCTACACCCAATCCTAGAGTATGATCAACCAGGGACCCGTTTCACAAAGCCTTTGTCAATGACAAATGACAAAAATCAGTGACAAATCTGCTGATAACCAATCAGAAGCAAGGATTTCAGTAGCTTATAACAAAAACTGTCATTTGTCACTGATGACAATTTTTGTGAAATATAAAGGGATCCTTTATATTTGTTTTTATTTCTTTTTGCCTTTTGGACACTGTCATAGTATACAAACATTGACTGTTCAGAGTTTAAGCTATTGCCAAAGTTGATTGTAAAAATTGACTGTGCCATGTGATGAGTCAAGGGGCAGAGTAAAGGGTCAGGTGCGATTTGATGCCCACACTTTTGACCAATCAGAGGCCTAGATTCTTGATACGTGGTACAATACATGATGAACGTGACAGAAACTTTAATATCTTTCCATTTTATCCCATGTTTCCTGGTAATGACAATTTAGCTCACTGATAGATACAGGTCATTATTCATTTACTGAATTCTGAAATGGCTGAATGGGCTCGTCTTGCTCAAAATATATCTCTGTCTCAAAATCAGTCAGATTTGACCTTAAGTTATTGTTTACAAAGATGAACTATAGAAGTTTTAGCTGTTTAAATACACATCATAAACATGTATTAGATACTTTCCAAGTATGGACATAGTAGGAGAGTGTAATTAAGATAACAGTAACTATTGTGAAGAAGTTTGAAACATATGTTGTCAAAGTCTTTCGTAAGCTAAAGTTCCATTTCTTTTGTCTTCATTTTGAAAAGTGACATTCCAACTTGAAAGCCATAGACCGAAGTATTTATTTACCATTCTCAAATCTACGAATTGAATGTGGACAATACTATTGAAGGAAAGGCAAGCTGTAAGCCATCGACCAAAGTATTTATTTACCATTCTCAAATCTACGAATTGAATGCTGACAATACTATTGAAGGAAAGGAAAGTTGTAAGCCATTGACCAAAGTATTTATTTACCATTCTCAAATCTACGAATTGAATGCTGACAATACTATTGAAGGAAAGGCAAGTTGTAAGCCATCGACCAAAGTATTTATTTACCATTCTCAAATCTACGAATTGAATGTGGACAATACTATTGAAGGAAAGGCAAGTTGTAAGCCATCGACCAAAGTATTTATTTACCATTCTCAAATCTACAAATTGAATGTTGACAATACTATTGAAGGAAAGGCAAGTTGAATGATTGATTGATTGATATTACCGGTATCACTAGAAAACCAGAGTTAGCTTACATTAGAAAACTCTGTAACGTATCTTGCAAGGTCTCCTCCCATTTGACACATACTAACAATAATCTATATTTTCCCTTAAGAAATTTTGTCAATCACACATTCACCCTAAATGTAGTTATTGCAAATATCATTGTTTTTTATACAACCCCTGTATGAAACAAATCTATTTCATTATTAATACTAAACTAAGAAAATAACAGTTTATGAAATTGTCTGTACACAGCCAATTGGAGAGGAGCTTGCATGATACGTCACAGTGTTGCTAATTTGTGTTTTACTGATAGCAGAAAATGCAAATTTTTTAATCGGGTATTGCTCAAACTTTCACTAATTTTTGTTCTCGTTGTTTTGCTTTTATAAAAACCTTTTTAAGTCTAATCAGTTCACCTTGACTATTATTGAGTATACATTTACAATTTATTTGTTGTTTCTTTCTTACTCTCTCACCCTTAAGCATTCTCATGATCCGTCTTTTTTGCTGCTCTTCCATGTTTTCTCAGTAAATTATAAAGTAGTCGAAAATAGTTCTATAAATAGTGAAAAACAGCACAGAAAATATGTTTTAAAACTATTTTCAACTCTGGATATATGTTTCATCTATCTTTTCTTTCTAATCCTTTTTTCCCCATTTTTTCTTCCCCCGTAAGAGAATTTAAGAAGAATGGTTTAGTTTTCGATAAAATATAGATAAAATAGACAAAATATACTTTTTTGTTGTTGTTTCTTCTATTTTTTGTTTGATATCTATTTCATTGTTTATCCGATTCATTTTCATTTCATTCTTTCCTCCATCTCATTTTCTTTAATTTCTTTCTCTACTTTTATTTGAATATTCATTATTACTCTGCTTACCATGACAAATGTTCAAGAGTGAGAACCTTTCAAATCATTAAGGGGAAAAACCTCCTTAGGAGGGATGGGGGTTGCTGATAATATCTTCATATTCTTGTTTTCAATTATATATTGGAATATTTTGAAAAAATTGTGATGTTCATGATTTTTTCGGTTCCTACCAATTTCATATGTGCCAGAACATAGGGAACAGGGAGAGATATATATACATGTATATGTTTTATTTAGCAGTTAAAGTATATGTACAGTGTATGTAGGTACATGTAACAAAGCCAATATATCCAGGGAAAGACATTGCCAAGACAAGTGGAATAGTTGAAGTATTCAAAGTGTATATCTCTTTGCTTGTGTCATATTGAGGATTCTTCCATTGTCTTATTTATGTAGAATTATATATTGACATATCATTATTCACAAGTATTTAAAGGGAACCTCAGCCTGAAGAATAAGTGTAGGAAGTGGGAAAGACTTTTTAATTCAATGACAAAACTTGTACCTTCCAACGTGGGAAAGTCATCGCTCAGAAGGTTACAAATTATATTTGGTGAAAAATGTGTTGTTTATAAGTTGTAAACTGATTTGTTAAAAATACTAATATATATATATAGCAATTTGACAAATCTAGTTCATTTATGCGAAACCTTCACATCAGAAGAGCAACAACTTATAAATGCAATTTGCGGTCTGGTAATTGTAGTATCAAAGATAATAGCAGGTGAATGAAATCCTTCATCACCAGACACACGAGGGAAAGAAGCATCCATAATTTTTAATATGTTTACTTGAAATAACTGCTCATTGTACGTCACGTTATCAAGAAAAATGGTGATGCCCTTGTCGTGCTGAAAAACGGTATACATTAGCTGAGAATATCTTGCTCCTTACACTTTGGTGGGGAATCTTGTAGATTAATGGGAAAGAACATAATAAATATAATTAGAATAGCCAAAGTTATTTCTTGGGGTGAGGTTTCCTTTGATATGGTATAATTAATGAAAAATATGAATTCAGCTGTGATTATTAAAGAAATATTTCCGTGAAGTGCTGAACAGTGACTCTAATGATACCTTGATTATAGAGTAAGCATTCTTCATGAATGACTTGCATTTAGAATATGTGTGTGTGATTCAATATATTTATAATAGAAGTGTCTTAAGAAATTGTTTAGACCAGTCCGTCATAACAATCTATGTATTTTGTGTTAAGTGTATATAACATGTAAATGAGCTTGTGTATAAAGGTCTTCAAAGCAATGACATAATGTGACAATGACATCAAGATGATATTAAAACAGAGAGATGGTAATACTGTTCTCTTATAATAGAAATATTATTGTTGTGATCTGTTTTTTTCTGGAGTGGATGCTAATTAACTAAGGTAACTGTGCCAAAATCGTTGTGCAAACAGGTTGATATAAATGTAGAAAAAAAAATCATAATTTTATGTCATAGCTGTAAAGTCAAACCTTTCTATAATGGCCATAAATGTTGTCTCCCTACTTAAAGAGATGAATGTTTGTTGAAGACCTTGTTTAGAAAAGGCTACCTGTCTAAAGCGACCACTTTATCTCTTTCCCTTGGGTGGCCTTAATAAACAGGTTTGACTTCACTATGGTTAGGACAAAGAGCTGATAATGTATCTCTATGAACTTGGTTAGGCTCAATGATATCAAAATTCTCATTCGAATATGCATGTGTCAAATTGCAACTTTTGTCTCACCGATGTCACCAAAAAAGTATCCCGTTGGCTTTCATTATGCACCGTTTTGTGCCATATTTCAAGCTGATCATGACTGCATTAAAAACATTTGATCTTGTATTAAACTGAAATATTTTTGGCGGGTGGGGTGGGGGGGGGGGGTCAAATGCATACATGTATAGTAAAAGACATTTCTCTAACTCATATTCAAGAAGGTTCTAGAGCATGGTCTAAATCAAAGATTGCGCATGGTCAACCAAAAGGGCAGATTTAAATAAAAAGGCAATAATTAGTTCTTTGATTAAAAAACAAGCACAATTTAGTTTTCCTTGGTTAAATTGCTTGTATTTTTGCTGTTTTTCTGATTAAAACAAAAAAATAATTTTTGGCTGCATGACCGACCATAACAAATCTGTGGTTCATGCATGATTATAGCTTTATTTAGCCCCCTTTTCAAATTCTGGGATTAGATTGAGATCTCAGAATCACAGAATTAGAGAGTTAAAAAGTGTCTTTGTGCACATTTGGCTTAATTGCACCAGTCATATGGATCATGAATCATTCAACAAGTTTTCATCCTTGATTGGCTAATAAATCAGATTATCTAGTTTTATGATGTTGGGTCAATGGATATTCTCGAATATTAAAGGGAAATCCTACCCTAATGGTAATCTATTTAATCTTAAAAAGAGAGCAGAAAAATCAGAGAACGTGAATTAGCAGACTTATTTATATATATGAAATATATATCGGACAAATACTAGAAATTTATGATTTTTTTTGAGACACTGCTGATTCTGCAAATTTAAAATTCTCATACTTTCAGTGATTATATAATCATTAAAAGTATGTGAATAATTATTTCAATTGAAGAAAAAAAAATTGTGGCAATTATAAAACAAAAAAAGTACTCGTCAATGTTGACATATATATTGCCAAATGGCAAATAGACGTACCAAACGAAAACATAATAAACCAGTGAAATTTTTTTCTAGCTTATTGTATTATATAACCATTCAAACAAGTAATTAACTATTAACTATATTTACTAGCTTTTGTGGAAATTAAGAAATTACTTTCACTTCTTGTCATTTACATAACTATGCATTCTATGTTGACGTACCGGTACGCAAATTGGCATCGCTTGAAATTGCTCTAGAAAAAAAGAGTAAGCTAACTTTCATGAACATCTCTCAAAAATTCTGAAGAAAATCTGCGATTATGGATCGTGAAATAGCCCAAAAGACATGGGAGATGTCTAACGATGTTGATCTTGTTCAAAGTGTGGACGAAATTTACAAGTACGATAAGAAACAGCAGCATGAGATACTGCAAGCAAAACCATGGACGAAAGAGTAAGTTTATACTGGTCCCAGCCGTTGCAATTTGTGCTGTAAATTTTGAGGGGGCCCAAGGCAAGGCCAGCATGCATGCAACTGGCGCCAGTGTACTTTTGTTTCCATTTTTGACCCGTAACTCCGGCCCGGAGATACCCTACTAAAACATACAACAAAATCAATTGTTCAAATAATTAATATTCATGATTTAAGAGTCGTTGTTTCTAGTTTTTTCTTACCCCTTTCGAAAGTTTCGTGTAAATTTTCTTATCTTTTTTGGAGTATTTTTCCCCAAAACGAAGGCATTGTATTTTATAATGTACACTTTCTCACAGTCACAGTTTTCACGGCAAACCGCTGCACAATTACAATACAATTGCATACCATACCGACGAAGGGGTGGGGGGGCGCACACGCATGCGTGAAGTAAGCGACTGTAATCTCAGATCCTCATTAAATTCATGTAAGCAGGGCTGCCGGCTGTCAACCCTCCCGCATTTGGAGGGAGTTCGAGACCTGCAATTGAAAAGTTTCTGATTAATGCTGTAGCCCGGAAGGCTTACCGGGTTCCAACCCGCCGGGTTGAGCATTTCGGGCCTGACCAGTTCCGGGCCGAACTGTAGCCAGAATTAGATCAACTCGGTAACAAAACCCGGCAGTAAGAAAGAGTTTTTAAATAGCTCATTGTTCGTTATTTACTTATCTTTCATCACGATAAAACCGTCAAAAGTAACTGTAAACAAACACAGCATGATGGCTCGATCTTTTACATCTGTTGACCTGTCTTTGCAATAGACACAGCACACATAGATTTTGTGTTGCGTTGTGTATATGGATCTCCCTAGCCCTGGCCCTGCCTGCAAGTAATGTGACTGATCAGCTTACTGTTCTGACCAATCAAAAAGTTTCCCCCGAGTGGGCGTAGAGTGAAACCAGCATAAATTAAAGTTCAGTGATTGCTGGCACAGTAGAACAGACGATTCATGAATTATGAAGTATGTTGACCTAGCTGATACTGATAGACGAGTGAATGGCAAATTTACATAATGTATATGAGAGTGTGTATGTGAAAATTTGTTATGCCTGAGGTGGAGGCTGAGCTGAGACGAAGTCGGCAGAGAGTTAAATTAAAGAGTAATTCCATCACCAAAATACTTCCTGACAAGCGGATTTAATTAGCAAACAAGATAATTATTGGGGTCCATTCTCTCTCTTATTCCCCTGTCTCTCTCTGCCTTAATTCTTAACCAAAATGGAACAAAAAGATTTAGCCCAGATTAGAAGAAAAAAAGAAGAAAAAAAATGATAAGTTTGTGAAATGTTGATAGTCTTTAGAGATGAGAAGGAAAAAGTTATCTTCATCATCATTCTTCCTTCCATCTTTACCTTTTTTCAATTCTATTTATTCATCTTCCGAATGTGTTTTAAACCTTTTTCCCCCCTCAAATCAATTTGATCTTCTTTCTTAAAAAAAAATAAAAGTACAGAATTATTTACGTAATGTAGTTTTTCTCATGTTTTCTTTTCTTTCTTAAGTTTCTTTCATTGTGTCTCTCGATCCCCCCAAAAATTCATTCACATCTGATATATCTCTTTCACTATCATGTCACAGAAATTTAGAAGACAAAACATTCCCTGTCAAAGATTAATGCTTGCCAGACAGCTTGGGCCCAGCTGGGTGTAACATTACACCGCGGTTTCTTTGAACAGGGTTCAAAGGTTCAAAGGATCAACAAGCAGCCTTTGTCCTGCTATGTGCACATTCCAAAAACATATGCAAATATCGGTTAAGCTATATCATGTGCCTTACATGTGATTATTGTTTTTAATTGGTTGTGTGGGCACTCTGACAGGGAAATGAGCTATTTTTTAGGATGCCTACATACATGTAGCTAGCCTTATGCTTCATCTTTTTCGGGAGTGGATTAAGGGTGATAATTTATGCTGACCTGGCCTGGGACTTACGTCTGGACTCACAGACAGCATGATAAACACAATGAAGCAATATATATTCAGGACAAGGTCGGTAGATCACACAAGATGTGTTTGTAGTAGCTTTCAAATAGATTCTAGTCAATATTATTTCAGTCCAACTCTCACCGGGTTACCGGACCTTTCTGGGTCCCGTTAAGAAATTTGGAAAATTGCCGGGTCGGGCCGGGCTGGGCCCGGGTTTTGGGTTCAGAGCTACAGCACTATTTCTGATGAAGGCAGAAACTTTAAATCAGATTGGTCTCTGAAGCATTTCTTCATAGAAGAGAAAGGTAAACCACTTTGCCTCATTTGTCACCAGAGTGAATGTAATGAAGGTTAACAACATAGCAAGACAAGCAAATTATGGGGAGTTACAGGGTGAGGCAAGAAGCAAAGACTTGAAAAATTAGTGACTGGACTGAAACGTCAGCAAGAGTCATTTGTGTAACCAACCATTCTCAAAGAAAGAAACAATAAAAGTAAAATAAATAAATGAACAAATAAATACAATTTTAAAAAAATAGAAATAAAGTTAAATTTTTTTTTAAATGGTGTGACCTACAGTACATGTATAAATAGAATCTTGCTGCATATGTTTCAGTAATATTCCATGCTGCATATTTATTTTCTCTGTACATTCTATTACAATTTTTTTTCACAGCAACCAATATTTCAAGTATATCAAGATATCTGCTCTGGCATTGTTGAAGATGGTGATGCATGCTAGGTCAGGAGGAACTCTAGAAGTCATGGGACTTCTTCTTGGAAAGGTAGTTTTAACTCATTGTCTTAAAATCTTATTAACGGTCTATTTTATTTAATGAATAAACAATATGCCTTATTTCATGTATTTATAACATAAGATGGATGATAACATCATGAGAATTCAAATTAGAGCTCATTTGGAGACATCACCACCCCTTCCCCCCCCCCCTCACGATCCTCAACAACAAAAGGATAGAAGAAAGTAGATTTTGATAATCAAATTTATAAATACACAAATTCAAATATGAAGATAATCACTGTAAACGAAGAGAAATAAATTGGTAATTATGGTTCTAAGAGTAATGACATGTAGATGAATAGATAAAAGTGTAACTACTGAGTACTGAGAAGAAAAAATGAAATACTTTTGTCAGGATCACCTTTCATAGCAATATTAATAATCTCAATTTCATTCAATTGTGAAGGTATTTGCAATTTTCTTCTTTCTCCTTTCCTGAAAATTTGAATTAGAACGTGAGTCATATGAAGACTTAGAGCAATCTGACTTTTCATCTGCTGAAGACCTGGGAGGCTGGGACCCCTTTCACAAATCCTTTTTTTCAATGACAAATGACAAAAATCAGTCAAATCTGCTGATAACCAGTCAGAAGCGAGGATTTCACTAGCTCATATAACTAAAAAACTCAGTGACTGTCATTTGTCACTGATGACAAGTTTTGTGAAATGGGGCCCTGAAGTATTTCAAAAGTGTGTGGTGCAATAGATCAGTTCACGGTTATCACTTGTCCCAAATGACCCCGAATATCCACAGATCTTCAAAACATGAAGAGGTCCCACTTTGTACATTTTGAAATAATCACTCCTACAGCGATGGAGGTGCTACATAAATAGCCTTTGTTTCCCCTTTTCAAAGAATACTTCCCCACCTGTGTATTATGGACTGCTTGTGCATAAATGAATAATGATTACCGTACATAACTTTCATGAGCACGTATCCAGTATTTGTCTCCGTGTATTTCACTATTTGGTCTGCAGTGACCTTTATCGGCTCATGCACAGACTGCAAATATGAACTGGCATATTGAAACTAGACCATATTTCTCCCACGTGTTTGATTGTTCACAGGTTGATGGTGAGACGATGATAGTGATGGATTGCTTTGCTCTTCCGGTAGAGGGCACAGAGACACGCGTCAATGCACAGGCTGCAGCGTATGAATACATGGCGGCTTATATTGAAAATGCTAAACAGGTAAGGGTCAAGGGTCAAATCTGCTTTTGATGTACAATCATGTAAACTTAAAGGCCCAAATTCACAAAGGAGGTTTAAATTTAACCCATGGTCTAAAATTAGCCCCAAAAAGGCGGGACACACAGTCAGAGGCCCAATATTAGACGCAAGCATGGCAAGGTACGCTTATTTTGTGCTAATTTTAAACCATTGGTTATGTAAATGAGGGTTTAAACCATGGGTTATATTTAAACCTCCTCTGTGAATTCGGGCCAAAATATTCCATACTGTGTGTGTAGTTCACAATAGTTTTTTAAAGCTCATGTATATGACAGCTTGGGTAGCAAAGATGAAATTTGAAATAAACATGTAAAAATAATCTTCATGTTGTTCTCTTTGTATTAAAAGATGTACACTGTATGAGATCATTTGGTATTCTTTCAATGATTTCCTGTGAATTGTAGTGTAAATGCCCGAAAGGAATGCCAGGTAACGGCTATACACTCCCTTTCACTAGGACCCTGTCACCCCGATGGATCCCGGCATATCAGTCTCAGCATTGACTTTGCTTGGAGACAGCATGTGTACAGTCCTCATAGGTTTTCCACGTGCAGTGCAGGTTGCCATGGTTTAGCATTTACTTTCCAGGGAAGAATCAGAGTCATTTTCAACCTCTCTTTTGTTTAATATTTCATTTGAGGAAGAAACTCAACAGTAGCCTTGAATTGGGATTATCTTCCTATCACCATCTAAAACCGAAAAAATCTGACCCCAAAAAACTTTTACATCAGCTTAAAGTAAACTTCAAGTGCATGCAATCTTTATATAGTCAGTAGCACATGGTCTTCTTAATTTTAGTAAGTGGATAAATTGCAATGTGTTGACATTTTTACAGGTTGGGCGTTTAGAGAATGCGATTGGTTGGTATCACAGTCATCCTGGCTATGGATGCTGGTTGTCGGGTATTGATGTCGGAACACAGATGCTCAATCAGCAGTTCCAAGAACCTTTTGTGGCCATCGTGGTGAGTATTATATTCCAATTTTGTACATAAATCATAAATGTATGTCTGTATGCAACCCTGTCTTTCAAATTTGTGTCTTCTATCAAAATATGGAGGCTGATATTATGTTTTGGTCATTTTGACAAATTTTAATTCATTACAAAATGAGATAAGATGTGGTGCAGAGTTGCAGGGTGTTGTATCTTCTCAGATGATAATGTGGAAACATCCTTTCAAATGTGGGAAAGAACTTTTTAGAACTTTGGGGTATATGCCAGTTCCCTTACATTGGATTAAGAACTTTTTTGTTGTTGAAATTATCGTTACCTATCAACATCAGATGGTCACTTCTCCCAGTTACAGGTAATCTTGTAATGAATGAAATAATGAATTAAAATTGGTGTTAGAACTTAAAGTATGACATTTGGTATGTGATTTCCGGGAAGATTTTGTTAGTCTGTTAACGTTTTTGCTCATCCTTAAATTTGATGTATGAAAAGCAATACCAAATAGGTAAGTTTCTACCACAATGCAGTTTGATTACCAGAACTGAAAATAAGATTTAGTTACACCAATCACATCAAGCCTGTTATAATGTAAAGGAGGTAATTGGCTCGGTGGTAGAGCAGTGGTCTTGTAACTTAGAGGTCCCGGGTTCAAAACCAAGTCAATGTGCTTCTGCCCTTTGGTAAGGCATCAATCCTCATTGCCAAGTCCCTTAGAGAGAACTTAAAGTCGTCAGTCCCCTGGTTGCTCACTTACAAGCATATACAGTACATGCTTTCTTAGCTGTCAGGTAAAATGATAATTGATCATGTTTTCCATACAGGTTGATCCAGTGAGGACGATATCTGCCGGGAAGGTGAACATCGGTGCTTTCAGAACATATCCAAAGGTAAATGGTTCTTCTCGAATGGCTTTTCAGGGGAGTGTTTCACAAAGACTAAGATACAATTACGTTGGACTTGAACTATGGGAGGCCATTCATGCCATTGTTTGCTCTCACCTTTGTTGAAGAAAAAAGTCTTAAATATAAGTTATGTTTACAATGTAAGTAAAAAATAATCTTAAACAATGAACTATCGAACAAAGTTAAATTCTGTAGATTTGTGACGTCCCTTGAGAGACCAATGGTGAGAGCAACCAGTGGCATGAATGGCCTGCCATAGTTCAAGTCCAACTTAAGTCAATCTTAGTCTTTGTGAAATGCCCTTCTGATCTACACATTCAGAATGCTTCCAGTAACAGATGCATGGCTAGACTGTTTTGAAACAAGGGTGTCAGACACACTTTGCTGACAAGTTAGTTCATCATTTATCCAATAGTCAAGAGGGAAAAGGTCATCAGTTTGGGGGATATTGTGAACCAGGTTTGTTGATGGACATTTTTGAGGGGGTGTGTGCGTCACCTCTACCTCTTGCAGGGTGCCCCTGATAAAAAGTTAATTAAGGTGATTTTTCAGCCTTTGACTTTTGAGTTTCCTTGGGCCATTGGACCCTTAAACTTGAGGATGTCAGATTGAAAGTTTTATGTCGTTTTTGAAGTAGTCATAAAAAGTAAAGGACATGTTCACAATGAAGTAATTTCTTATTAAAGTTCATTTAATATTTATAATCCTTACAGCTTTTTAAACTTCAAAATATATATAAAATATGAAGTGTACTAACTATTGAGATCCTCTTGATTCCTTCCTCCCTCAGGGTTACAAGCCACCTGATGATGTGGCCTCTGAATACCAGACCATTCCACTCAACAAGATAGAAGACTTTGGTGTCCACTGCAAGCAATACTACAGCCTAGAGATCTCCTACTTCAAATCAGTCCTGGATCGCAAGCTACTGGAATCTCTCTGGAATAAATACTGGGTCAACACGCTCAGCTCATCAAGTTTACTCACAGTAAGTATGGTCTCTGAGGCCACTGGGGTCAGAGGTCAGATGTAGAATATTGCCATAAAGAAGCCATGTTTTGTTTGTAGTATCATCATATAGTATCAAAAGTCATATCAGTCATCTATCAGTCAGTTACAACATGTACATGTAAGGCTTGGTTGCACAAAACTTTTCATCAGTGACAAGTGACAGTTTTTGTTAAAAGCTAGTAAAATCCTTGCTTCTGATCGGTCATCAGCAGATTTGTCACTGATTTTTGTCAATTGTCATTGAAAAAAAGCTTTGTGAAACGGGTCCCAGGCTTGGGCTTAGGTATATTGTTGGGTCCAGGGTTGAAGTTATAAATTTGATTTTCATGAGAGATTGACAACAGAGCAATTCATCAGAGTATGTTTATCATCGGGTTATCATGTCCCATGCCAAAGCATCTAATACACTGAATTGTGTATGTTCAAACCATGTCTGATGGCGTGTAGGATCACACACAAAAAAGTGTGTCTAGACTTGGACTTAATCTGAAACACTTGCCAGGAGTAACTAGGCAAGCATCATGAAGTCATGGTTGTCTTGTGTTAAAAAAATGAAACCATTGACTATCCTCTCTCCACTCTTTATAAGAATAGAAGCATGAAATGTAGATTTAGAGCTAATCTTACAGAGGCATACCTTTGACAATAGAATTTCTCTCTCCCTCCCCTCTCTCTCTCTCTCTCTCTCTCTCTCTCTCTTGTCACCCCCCTCTCTTTCTCCCTCTTTCTTTTTTCTCCCCTCTGTCTCCCTCTCCCCCCCCCCCCCCTCTCTCTCTCCCCCCCCCCCCACCTCTCTCTTTCTCTCTCTCTTGTCCACTCTCCCCCTCGCTCTCTCCCTCTCCCTCCCCCCTCTCTCTCTCTCTCTCTCTCTCTCTCTCTCTCTCTCTCTCTCTCTTCCTTATGCTAGAATGCTGACTATACAATAGGCCAAGTGTCTGACCTCTCAGAGAAGCTGGAGAATGCAGAGAGTCAGCTAGGGAGAGGTAGCTTCATGCTTGCTGTGGACCATGAAAAGAAGGCTGAAGACAAACTAGGAAAAGCTACAAGAGATAGGTAGGAGGAGCATCATGATGTAGATGGAGATATTGATGATGGTCACACGTAGGCCCTGTTTCAAGTTTATTTATTTCCACAAACCTCAAACAAGTTTAACACAATAAGTATGTTTGTTGATGGTAGTAGTGATTATAGTGGTAATTTTTATTTTTTAACAAGGAAGACTTTTTGTATTATAAGAAAATAGAGAAAATATGGCTATAATTCATTCTGGGTTGTTTATCCTGCAGTAAATCGATTGTTTGAACCAGTGAATTAAAAACAACCTCAAAATAACTTGCTGGAAATCATCTTCAATAAAAACCACAACTCTCATTTGCATAAAGTGACCTGTGTTTAATAAGCACATGGTGTTTGGCTTACTTACTTTGATTTCCTTATCTTTCTATGCTCAATACTCAGCCCCTATACATCTTCTACCAAAATTGTTTCGCAAATGTCATTTATTTGTAATAATGAACATTCAGTGTAACTTTTGTTGGATTCTGTGATAATTTATTTTCTATCATTACCAGAACTCAAGCTTATCTTTATGCCCCTTGTGGACCATTCTGTAATCACAGCTACTCATATTTCTTCATTTTTTCTTCTTCTTCTGTTTTTCCCCTCCAGCTGCAAGTCCACAATAGAAGTCATCCATGGTCTCATGTCACAAGTCATCAAGAACAAACTATTCAACCAGGTCCATAATCGCTGAGAAACAATACAAACTATTCAACCAGGTCCATAATCGCTGAGAAACATTACAAACTATTCAACCAGGTCCATAATCGCTGAGAAACAATACAAACTATTCAACCAGGTCCATAATCGCTGAGAAACAGTACATGCTGTTCAACTAAAGGGACTTACGACATTGATACATGTCTCAATGTAAAGACTCAGTTACCCATAATAACATCAAGATTATTTAAATAGTAGCACCTAAAGAGTGTTCATGAAAGTTTTACAAAAAATTAACGGGAGCAGTGAGCGATTTAGCTCTCGATACCTACAAAACTGAATAAGCAACCGCATAAATATCTCTGAGAAAATCAGTTTTACAACAACATTTCCGAAAGGAGCACCCATGATCAGAAAAGTATTTTTACACTGGTTCATGAATGTAATGTATTTATATCTATGTCAGACATATCCAGACATCACTGAGGAGGTGAGGATGTGAAGTGGTAAAGGATTTCTATTGTAGCCTTTGAGCCCATTATTTAAAATACTATTATAAGCAAGAGAACCTATAACAGTACAGTCAAACCTGCTTTAGTGACCACCTGTTTACAGAGACCATTTTTCTTGTTTCCCTTGGATGGTCTTTATAGACAGGTTTCACTATACATGTACTTCAAGGCATGTCACGTAATGTGCATTTGACAACGTCTAAAAACAAGAAGTGATGAGGATAGTGTTTGATTTCTAACTCCTTTTGTACAATGAATATGTGAGAATATGATTGCAAGTTAATTTAAATATCATTTGAAAATGAGGATTGTGACAGGGGTAGTGTAAGAAGACAGGGGGAAGAAATCAAAACAGTGGTATTTATATCATTGTCTACATTTCCCATGGTTTTCTCATATGATTGAGGAAACAAAAAATTTCTGATCATATTATGCAATGGAGTTTAAATTGCCCTAAAATTAACAACTAGTACACTTTTTTTTTCTTTTCATTTTAACATTCTTTCTTGTTGAAAGCTTTATGTAAAGAGCAATCATCTAAGAGGGCATTTTTACGAATCGTTTCTATTGAATTGTCTTCATATTTAGGCTTGACTACTGATATTCAACACCAAGCATCTTGAAGATTTCTTTCTTAAATTGTGTCAATTCTTTGCTATACTTCTTTGACTAAATAGCATTGTCACTCTCCTTTGGGGATTAATTCTAAGAAAAGTGATATTCTATGACAAGTGAAGTGACTGTTGTGTAACCAGGAATACTAGAATGTGAGAAATATATTTATTTCTATGTGACTTAATGTCTCAACCACAACAATTTACCAATAAATTCAGTTTTGTTAAAATACTTTTTGTGAAACATCTGTGACTTATGCTATACATGTATTTGCCACTTAATATTGTAGCAAACTGCACCTCTAATTCAACAACCCAGGAAAATTTGCACTGTAAAGTGACTAATAGAAAATAAGGTTTACAATTTCTCAATATTTTGAATATCAAATCAAAGTTATTAAAAATATTAGTTGAGCAAGCTAAGCCTATGATTATTGAGTTTGAGTTGTACTAAAATTGAATTTTAGTTTCAAATTTTTTTGAAGCAATATGTAACAGGGTTGTCTTGTATTAAAACTCATGGCCACACACAGAGGTTTAAAGGGAAAATAAAGCTTTCAAATTAAGGTATGAAAGATATTAGCTATCAGGGTGTGATTGATGTATGTTAATCTAGGTACAGTCAAACCTGCTTTAGTGACCACCTGTATAGAAAGACCACCTGTCTACAAAGACCACATTTCTTGTTTCCCTTGAAAATGGTTTCTCATTGAAACATGTACTAAAGGAACCTGTACATAAAGACCATCTGCCTATGAAGACCACTTTTCTTGTCTCCCTTGGGTGGTCTTTATAGACAGGTTTCACTCAGTGTATTTGGGCTTTGGAATCAATACTCATCATGTACCTTCATTTACTACCTGTATGGAAAGACTGGTGATGATAAATCCTAGGAGTTATCTGCCTAAACCTTTTATATGCAAGTGTATAAATGTGACCATATGTCAGCGTAGCCTGTATTAGCTGAGAGAGGGGTTTATTTCTCAAGCTGATTAAGATGTGATTGGTTGATACAGTCAAACCTGCTTTAGTGATCACCTGTCTACAAAGACCACCCGTCTCCAAGGACCAGATTTTGTGTTTCCCTTGGGCGGTCGCTGTAGACAGGTTTGACAGTAGTACAGGTATGTAATTTCATGATATTGTTATTGCTAGATATTAAAAGACATTTGATGCCTATACAAACTATCTATCTTGCATTGTTATTTCATACCAAGTTTTCTTTTAAATCCGATGTTGTTAGCATTCTAACCGTTAGGTGGAAGAGTGATAGTGATCTTTAGTAAAATGGTTGGGATGTATAGGAAACACAGCATAAATTGAAAGAATTGTGGAAAAGATAAGGCACTGGTAAGATGAGTGATAAGCAAGGAGTAGAAGTGAAAAGGGGTCCATTTTACCTTATTCCCTAATCCACTAGTGTATATGAGGGGAGGGGGGGGGGGGGGGGGGGGGGGGGGAGAGATGGGAGTCACCCAACCCCCCCCCCCCCCCCCCCCCGACAGAATTTTATTTTTTTTAATGCCTTTTCGAAAAACAGACATGGAAATATCCATTGTTTTGTGCTGGATGTTTTTGTTGATGACAGTAGTGGTGGTTTGTGTTATATTTGTTTGTAAGTCTCTATGTTCGAATGCTTGGCAGCCACTATTCACGTGCCATTATAGGATTATTCTTATAAATTACAATGAATTTATAACTTCAGTATTCAAAAGCCAATTATAGGATTGCTCTCACTTTACACATTATTCGTCAGAACTTCATGGGTATAACAGGCTTTCATCGAAAGGGTGCGGTGCGGTGCGGTGCGGCGCGGTGTGGTGTGCTCAACGCACCCATTCGATATAAGAGTGGGGCCTTTTCTCGAAAGGGTGCGTTGAGAGCGGAGTACCGTTTTAACACACCCTTTCGATAAAAGCGGGGGGGGGGGGGGGGGGGGGGGCGGGGGGCTTTTCTCGAAAGGGTGCGTCGACTAGTCTTTCGCATCAGTCGTTTAAAATGAGGATCTCGGACAGAAGGTAATAGTTGCCAATCTAAGTATATCGAAAATGGAATGGTCTTGATTACAGAGTGGTCTCTTTCGTTATTACTATGTTGATGGGGGAGACAGAGAGAAGGAAAAAAGGGAAAGGGAAGATAAAAGGAAAGAAAGAAGAATAAGAAGAGAAGAGGGAAACGGGGGGGGTGGGCGAAGGACTCTTGCCCCCCCCCCCCCGCGAACAAATAAATAGGAGATAGAGAGAAGGCCGGAAAGGGAAAGGGAAAGAGAAGATAAAAGGAAAGAAAGAAGAGGAAGAAGAAGAAAAGAGGGAAACGTGGGCAAAGGGCTTTTGCCTCCTCCCCCCCCCCCCCGCCAACAAATAAATAGGGAGAGAGAGAGATAGAGAGAAGGGAAAGGGAAAGGGAAAGAAAATATAAAAGGAAAGAAAGAAGAAGAAGAAGGAAAGAGGGAAATGGGGGAAGGGCAAAAGGCTCTTGCCTCCTCCCTCCCCCCCCCCCCCCGCCAAAAAAATAAATAAGAGAGAGAGAGAGAAGGGAAAGGGAAAGAGAAGATAAAAGGAAAGAAAGAAGAGGAAAAGAAAAAAAAGAGGGACACGGGGGCGAAGGGCTCTTGCCCTCCCCCACCCCCCCCCCCCCCACCAAAAAAATAAATAAGAGAGAGAGAGAGAGAAGGGAAAGGGAAAGGGAAAGAATATAAAAGGAAAGAAAGAAGAATAAGAAGAAAAGAGGGAAACGGGGGCGAAGGGCTCTTGCCTCCTCCCCCCCCGCCAACAAATAAATAGGAGAGAGAGAGAGAGAGAGAGAAGGGAAAGGAAAAGAAAATATAAAAGGAAAGAAAGAAGAAGAAGAAGGAAAGATGGATACGGGGGAAGGGCGAAAGGTTCTTACCTCCCCCCCCCCCCCCCTTCCCGCCAAAAAAATTAATAAGAGAGAGAGAGAGAGAGAGAGAAGGGAGAGGGAAAGAAAAGCTAAAAGGAAAGAAAGAAGAGGAAAAAGAATAAGAAAAGAGGGAAAGGGGGCGAAGGGCTCTTGCCAACAAAATAAATAACAGAGAGAGAGAAGGGAAAGGGAAGAGAAGATAAAAGGAAAGAAAGAAGAGGAAGAAGAAGAAGAAAAGAGGTAAACGGGGGCGAAGGGCTCTTGCCTCCCCCCGCCAAAAGTAAATAAGAGAGAGAGAGAGAGAGAAGGAAAAGGGAAAGAGAAGATAAAAGGAAAGAAAGAAGAGGAAGAAGAATAAGAAGAAAAGAGGGAAACGGGGGCAAGGGCTCTTGCCCTCCGCCCCCCGCCAAAAATAAATAAGAGAGAGAGAGAAGGGAGAGGGAAAGAAAATATAAAAGGAAAGAAAGAAGAGGAAAAAGAATAAGAAAAGAGGGAAACAGGGGCGAAGGGCTCTTGCCTCCTCCCTCCCCCCCCCCCCCGCCAAAAAATAAATAAGAGAGAGAGAGAGAGAATCTGTTCTGATCCTGGTCCTGATCCTCAAGAAGGATATAAAGATGACCAATAAGAACGTTATCGTTCGAGAGAGAGTGTTTGTTGCTTCTAGAACATTTTAGAATTAAGTCCCATCACATTGCAGTTGTGGGGAGGGACTATGATTATATTACCCCCTTAGATGGCTTCCCAGAGTCTGGCTTTGAAGGTTTCAACTGCGTCGCAGGCAAAGATGCTGGGGGGGGGGGGGAAGTAAATTCCAGGCCCGTATGGTTCTTGGAAAGAAGGTGAGTCGATATATATCCGTCTTGCATCTTATGTTGGAGAAGGAGAGGGAAAGAGAAGATAAAAGGAAAGAAAGAAGAGGAAGAGGAAGAAGATTTTGTGTTCTGTCAGTGTCACAAATAGATATATAAATATGCTCATCTGACGATAATTTAATGTATAAAACCCCTCACCTTCTTGGGGCTCCGCCCCTTGGATCCAACACCAATTTGTGTCCTTCCAGTGTCACAAATAGATATAAAAATATGCTCATCTGACCGTTATTTATTGCCCAAAACCCCTGAGCTTCCGGGTGCTCCACCCCCTGGACCCCACGCCAATTCGTGACCCCTGTGTCACAAATAAGGTATAAAATAATAATTATTTAATGGACAAAACTCCTGAGCTTCTGGGGGCTCCGCCCCCTGGACCCAACACCAAATTGTGTCCTGCCACTGTCACAAATAAGGTATAAAATTATGCTCATCCGACGTTAATTTTGATGTTTAATACCCCTGAGCTTCTGAGGGCTCCGCCCTGTGAAAAAAACGTGTAAAAAAACACGTTAACTTTTACCTATTTTTGGAGATACCCCCCCCCCCCCTGGCGTTTGGGGGGGGGGGTACGATTTTTCAAATTTTTGAGGGCCCCAAAAAAGATTAGTGCTCTCTAGTAATTTCGCGACTACTCCGGAACCGCGGCAGATATAAAGTTCTTCTTTCATGACTTTTTTCTTTCGAGTCTTACGCATCTTTTGAAAAAAAAATTGTTGAAAATCGGACGTATAATTGCGGAGTCACGTGACCTTTTGTTTTTGCATGTCAGCCCTAAAATCGCTCATTTTTGTGATTTATGTACCAAACATATGGAAATACCATTTATTCTTTAAAAATAAGATAAAACATTGGTTATTTGGTCTTGTTTCAAGTTAATGTTTGATTTTGGGTAAAAATAGTTGAATTGTGGTTAGAAATGAAATGAAATAACAAAATAATATAATACATAAATACAAATTATCAAAACAAGAGATAACATAGGGATAAACTGGCTCTTCCAACTTTGTTGTCGTATTATTATTCTAACGAATATATGAAGTGAAAAAGAACGCTCGAATATGAATTATATATGATTTAGGGGTAAAAATGTGAATTCTCTGACCTTGTTTGCATAAATTACCATAAATATGCATTTTCGCGGCGATCGGTTGTGAAACGGCCGAGATCTTAGGGGGACCCCCACCCCCCACCCTCAAGTCCACTCCAATCACATTGAAAAAAAGTATGACTTAAATCATCTCTCTCACCATTATACCGCTATAGTATTCATGTTTTTAATATTATTTATTGTCCATTAAACAAGTTCATAGAGAAAATACTTATCTCTCTGCAACATTAAAAAAGAATCTTCATTAATATGTCTTAATTTGTATTGATAGCCTTGTGGTCGCCAACAGTGGCGAAGGCAGGGGCGTCTCCAAAGGGGGTGTGGGGGTGCGACACCCCCCCCCCCCACCTGTCAGGATATTGTCGGTAAAAT